ATTTATTCTCAATTGATAATATTGCCGGGTCGATGCTTGCCATGAATTACAAGAAAACATGTTAGGTTAATATTTTGTTCACTTGAAATCAATGCAAGAAAACTCTAGAACTCTTGACGAATACCTTACATGAAAATAAAGATTTTTAATATACACGTCTTCTTCTTCTTCTTCTACGTTTCTTCAGAACCAACGTGATCATGGCTATCTACAATGACCTGCTCTTTGTAACACTTAATAACTTTTGTCTTTTTGGCATCTCTCCCAAACCCTGCACCTTAAGTTCTCCAGGGAGGTTCTGCGTTGCTTTCCTTTGTCTCTCTTCACCTTCAGTTTGTGTTGTGAGTATGAAATTTTACAAGTCGGCTTTCCTCAATTTATGCCCTGAAATTTCAACTATTTATTCCTGATATTTTACGTATGCTACTTGTTGTCATTGTCTACACGCTTACGGTCACATTCCGTAGGATCACCGAAGTTTAGCAACGTCAGTACCTAGATGGGTAGCCACTTGACCTTCAAAAATATTGCATCATCCGTGATTGCGTCAGATTTTTAGCACGCACAGGCACTATTGTCTCGATTGTCGATTAGTTGTCCTACGGCTATTGTCTGCAATGGACGTTATTCTAAGGAAGTGTACGAAAATGGTAACACTGCAAGAACACACAAGAAAGACTTACCAGTGAGTAAATCAAAGTAATATAGACTGACCAGGAAACTCTCCCGATTTAAATCCAATCGAGAATCTGTGGTCAATCTGCGGGGAACGACTTTGTCGAATGGACATACGAAGTACTAACATCTGCACTGGGTCATGATTCATTGGAAAAATACGAAAAAATTAAATAAAAACGGAATTATTCGTATATTTCTTCCTGATATTATACGTATGCCACTTGTTGTCATTGTCTTAGGGTCACATTCCGTAGAATCACCGAAATTTAGCAACGTCAGTACCTAGATCGGTAGCCACTTGTGAATACCAAATGCTCGTAGCTTGGATGTGCGTGTGGTTTAATAGATAATGACACGGAATTGTTAATTGGAGGGCCAAGTTCTAATCCCAGTTGGATTCATTATATGACGCGCAAATACTTTTTGGAAAGGTATGGACCCACTTCAACTTTGCTGCAGCTATGGGTTAATTAGTAAAACTCCACTGACTGAATCATTGTTATCTAAAAAATTACAATGGAAAATATTTCCTGGCTTTAAATAACCTGCAAATGGTCGATAAACTGTAAAAAACGAATCAGTAGTTATTGTGTACTCGTTTTTGTGTTGGTGTCTCTGTTGCATCACTAAATCTTCCCATTTCAATATATATATATATATATATATATATATATATATATATATGTGTGTGTGTGTGTGTGTGTGTGTGTGTGTGTATATATATATATATATATATATAAAATTGAACATTGAATTCAACACTCAGAGGCGACAAGGCTGTTTCATGCTATACGCAATCGTCAGGCCTGAAGATTGCGTCTAGTATGAAACAGCCTGTCGCCTGTGTGTGTTTGACTTCAATGTTCACTTTTATATTTACATACGATCTATCTCTGATATTGAGCACTTTATCCCATAAATCCCATAAATACAGCAAACCTTAAAACTATATTTTTTTATACATACATATATACATATATATATATGTGTGTGTGTGTGTGTGTGTGTGTGTGTGTGTGCGTGTGTGTGCGTATGTGTGTGTGAGTGTGTGTGTCTGGAGTGTGTCTGTGTGTGTGTGGGTGTGTGGGGGTGGGATTTGTATCTATGCCTGTGCGTTTTATTACTATACTATTTTAGTGAGTAGGCGTTTCTATTTAAGTGTTGTTTTTAATTTACTCAAGCAATCAAATTAATAAGAACCAGCCTGGATTGATAAGCCTTGGTTTAAGGTGTGTCTCCCGACAGAAATCGAATCTATATGCTTCTTTTCTCACTAGGGAGACCGCTTTTATATCATAAGACTTGATTACGGTACTTGAAATGTTAAACCCAGGTGTTCAAACATTATCATTAGCCTTCAAAAGGATAAGTAAAAAAATATATATATATATATATATATATATATATATATATTTGCTCAAAGCTAATCTTAACGTAAACAAATGGCATAATATATATATATATATATATATATATATATATATATATATATATATATATATACCTTCTATAAAATATATTAAAATAATTGTCGGATTTTGTCCATTTCATAATATGGCAATTGTTTGTTAAGATACGCTTCAAGCAGATATAAGCATTCGAGAGAAACCATGGGAAGGTTGTAGTTCAAAAATATTAATTTAACCTTTATAACCAGACGCTTCCTCTGTAGCTAAATGGTATTGAATCTCTGCAATATGGTGGTTCCGTATAAGATACAGGTTCGATTCTTGCCGGAGGATATATATTTTGTTTTTAGATTCTCGAAGAATCACGCCGGAAATGTTGTTAACACTGTTTATTATAAAGAGAGCATTTTCTTAAATATTTGTACCTATAAAAATAACGTTTAAACAAAAATATATCAAATAATTGTCGAACTTAGTCCAACATGATGTTAACGACCAGGGGAGCTAATCCCAACTCGCGCTACAATTGCCAAAAGGTGTAAAACCATGTCATATGTTTGACCCAGGAAATAAAATTGGTAGAACAAAGTATCCAGAAGCGGTCGATGGTTCTGCGAACACATAGTCACAAGTCACCGTGACCGAGTATTTAATCGGACTGACCTTGGTCTTACTTTTCATCACACTAGATGATGCACTCTCTCCCAGAAAATCTAAGTAAGGTCTGCTCCACATAGTCTGTGGGTGTGTAACAAGCACAAATGTGCTTGAACAAACATCTGCAACCGGGATTGGCAAGACACCCTAGCAGAGATGCATTCCACTCTCGGATGGCAAAAGCACAGCTTATATATATATATATATATATATATATATATATATATATATATATATATATATATATATATAATGTTCTGCCTATACAGTCGAGGTAGAGGGTTACAGAGTAAGCGGTACCACAACAAGCAACTGAAATATATATATATATATGTGTGTGTGTGTGTGTGTGTGAGAGTGTGTGTGTGTGTGTGTGTCTGTGTCTCTGTGTGTGTCTGTGTGTGGGGTGTGTTGGGTTTGTATCTATGCCTGTGCGTTTTATTCCTATATCATTTTAGTGAGTAGGCGTTTCTATTTAATGCTATACGAACGCAAGTGGACACCAGAAGGGGAAGAAAATCTAAAACTTTTAGAAGGGACCGAAGACCCAAATCCTAAACAGGAAGCAAAGGAAAAAATCTCTACTACTGTTTAAAAGATCAGGGAGGAGTGTGAACCGGTCCAAAAGCATATATATATATATATATATATATATATATATATATATTACTCGTCTCACAAATCACAGCTTCTGTGTTAATAACCTTTATACGTCGTACACCACCATGTAAGTATGTATATTTATTCCAATTGCGGAAAAATTATTATTATTATTATTACTTTTATTTCCTTTGATTTCTGGCGTTTACACATTTCTTTCCGGGCCCCGCCCAAGGACCGTTATTATTATTATTATTATTATTATTATTATTAAAATATGCAAAAAAAAAACAAGAATAAAGCTTTTGAACTGATGGTACTACGCTTGCAAGATATACCTCTGCATGGTCAATATGCGGAACCTGGTAATAAAGCCGATTTTGATAAAGTTAACACTAATCGATGATTACGAGCATTTGGACTAAAGGCTCAAATGGAAGGCTTTATTCATGCAGCGCAAGACCAGAATCTTTTCTATAGGAACTTTCAGAAGAATATCAGACATAATAGTGTGGATCGAAAATGTAGTCTCTTTGACAACTATTATGAAACTATAGACCATCTGATCTCAGCATGGTCAGTACTTGCACTAAATGAATATAAAAATCATGATGATAGTGGAGCAATAATTACACTGGACAATGTGCAAACACTTTGGAAAAGATCTTAACAAAACACTGGCATCAACATCACTCACCACGCGTTGCAAAAACTGAAGTCATCACAATTCTATGGGATTACACCATCTCCACAGACAGGGTGATTTAAGCAAATAGGCCGGACATAATTGTCAAGATCGGAAAAAAAAAAAAAAAAAAAACTTGCCTACTAATTCGTATGGCTTGCCCAGCGGACTGTAGCATAGCAAACAAGGACTCTGAAAACTGTCGAATTAACCTAGAAATCGAAACAGAAAAAAATGTGTAAATTGAAACAAGAATAATACAAGTCATAATAGTTGCGCTTGTAATGATAAAACAGAATACAAAAAAAAATCCATAGAAATCCCAGGTTAAGAGAAATAGAAACGATAGTTTTCATAAGTACAGCTCACACACTAAGAAGAACTTTGTCCATGTAACGCTAGTGATATTATAGGAGTTGGAAAAACATATCATATAATGTAGCCATAAGAACACACTACTACCTGCCTTAGGTTTTCCCGCAGATTTAGTACATAGTGCGACCATAGCAGAAATAAAAAATTAATGATCATAATAATAGAATTATATTTGGATTTTGATATTATTTTATTCATTTAACTGATTCGTTTTTTAAGGTTATTTAAAGCCAGAATATATTATTAGATTTCAAGAATTATTTTTTGGCAAGTGTAGTTTTTTTTTCTTTTTTAATTTTCTTCATCTGGTCTTTTATGTCCAGATCTTAATATGTCACTGTTAACTGCAACTATATTCTTATGGGTGCAGAGAGTTGGGTTTACCTGTTTAAATGTTTTCATCTCTGGCTAAGAACGCGCAATTAGTTCGTTAGACGCCTTATTAAGGAGACTGTCGTGCGATCAATATATTCGTTTCTGATTTTGCCTTTATTTCCATGGGCATAGCCCGAGATTTACCTTGACTCCCTCTACACTGAGTCAGGTTGTGACACAAGGTCGGTTTTTGACGTGGGGACACGTGTGGAGACCCCCATCTACCCCTCTGCCAATCGCCCCGTGAGAATTCGGAAGAAGAGCCCCGTCAGGGAAATAGCCCTGCAAACAGCAGTTAAGTTTAATGAGTAAGTATAACACGCCGATCACGGATATGAGCGCTCACACCTAGACAGAAATGCAGACATATTTTTGAGAGGTTCCCATGGGAATTTGTTGAATATGACGATTTCGAGATAACAATGATCAAAGCAGAGATCGATTGTTATTTTGTCAGGGCGAAATTGCCCACGGCAATAATCAAAGCATATTTTCACGTCATGTCGTTATATACGTCGTTAAGTCAGACATTAAGTGATCAAGCCTGGCTCACACATTAACACAAAAAGTTAAATATAAGGTGATAGGTATATAAAAGGACAAATAAGCACACAGAGTGAATCAAAAGCAGTTAGATAGAAAGCTGAAAAGAAAGAAAATCAGTTTATGGCTTGGACCATGGCAATTCATTTGAGCGTGATATGTTTAGTATCGATTCCGGGGTGCAAGGATCCACGTCACATTAAATTCGCTTTATCATAAAGAAGTTCGAGTTCACTGCGTCCATGTGTAACGATATTGTAAAAACTGTTCAGAAAAAAACATTGTTCAACTGGGGAATATTGGTTACTAGTTTTCACCCGTGAAAATCTCACGGTTTTCCCATTTTAACATCCTGATGAATTTAATCCTTAAATTAATGAGGGAATAAGCTCCTGGTGAGTTCTACGACAAAAAATATCCGTATCAATTCCTCAGTGTTATCGTTATATAATTGAGCTTGTATAATATTTACATTATTCGGACTATTGTCCTCATCTTTGTCGCCATATTTATTATAACGTTTCGGCCGTTGTACACTCCGACCTCCTTCAGGGGGTTGGAATGTCGAACTGAACCCTTTATTTCGCTCAGTGAGGTAGACTGTTCTAGTCCCACGTGCCATGTCTAATGGCTGTCAGTTATCAGTTATCACCTGTTAATTCCCTTCACCAAGTTCTCCACCGCTTTAACCAGGTATTGAAATCACACTCTTTGGGTCCTGTCATTGGATCTAACTAACGCCTTTACTCTCATCTCAGAAATATAGACAGAACAAATTATTGCAATAAAAATCATAAATATGAATGCTGGTCGTTATTTTAACATGTGGAGACAAGTGAAAAAATTTGAACTTGAACTATTTCCATTTCATTGAAACCAAACGTTAGACACTTTTGTCTGTCTTTCTTTCTCCCTTTATTTTTTTCTGCTCTTTTCTTTCTTTATTCTTTCTTTAATTTTTCCTTCTTTCTTGCTTTCTTTCTTTAATTTTTCCTTCTTTCTTTCTTTCTTTCTTTAATTTTTCCTTCTTTCTTTCTTTCTTTCTTTAATTTTTCCTTCTTTCTTTCTTTAATTTTTCCTTCTTTCTTTCTTTCTTTAATTTTTCCTTCTTTCTTTCTTTCTTTCTTTCTTTAATTTTTCCTTCTTTCTTTCTTTCTTTCTTTAATTTTTCCTTCCTTCTTTCTTTCTTTCTTTCTTTCTTTCTTTAATTTTTCCTTCTTTCTTTCTTTCTTTCTTTCTCTCTCTCTCTCTCTCTCTCTTACTCATTCACTGACTCACTGCAACCAAGTAATGTCTTTCATCCTCTTTCCATGCAATCAAAACGGAATACACCATTATTTATAAGGTATTGGTAGATGTTATACATTTCTGTCTTTTCTTCTTTTTGTCTTTCTTTTATTTTCTTTCCCTGAAACCAAGTAGTGTTTTCACCTTTTCCCACCTGATCAATAATATCCATTATTTATAAGGTATTGGTAGGGCATAACATTCATGGGTATAAAGAAAGGAGGGACATGCTCAATTATAAGTTTATTATCTTCGGTGTCATTTTTTTCTGAGAATATTATACATACACGCACACACAATTTTTTTCCCGAGTACTTTCGAATGTTGATACATTCGTTTTCAAGGATTTTGTTTTAGTTTTCTGTCTTTGTATGTCTAACTATTTCTGTTTAGTCCTGGCTTTCATACGTTTAAGGTTACCAATTTGAGGTTCCCGAATTCGACGCCATTTAAAGAGTGAAACTGGAATTTTACGTAGCAAAATTAGAAATCACTTGAGAAAAAAAATAATATAAAATAAAAATATACATGAATTTTGGAAAAGTTGTCGATAACATAATAGAATTAATTCGTGAATCAGAAAAATTTAGTAAAGTTTGATAGACAGATATTGTTCAACCAAATATGCATGAAAAAATTACTGCAGCCAAAAAACACCTTATTTTATGTTTGTATATATATATATATATATATATATATATATATATATATATATATATGAAGAAAAATATACGGAAAAAACAAACAAAAACCCTAATATGTAATTATGTTGTTTTAATGTTAATATAATGCCAACGTCGGATGTTTCGGTCTAGTAGACCATCTTCAGGACATATTCATAAAACATAATTAACATTAGCATTAATCTTGCTAGAAAAGGGGAAATATTAAAGAAGCCAGGTCTAGTATTCACCGTGCGTGAGATAGATATTATGCAAGATTAATGCTCGACAAACCTACATATAAGTTTTAGATTAAAATAAAATTCTTTACATTTTTCATTCAAAATACTCTGTTTTAGGAATACGTTTTCACAACATCGCCCACGTGACGCCGACGTGATATATTGAAACGGAACGCTGATCTTGAAAAATTTCAGTTGTCTGTTTTGATTAGTCTTACTCTTATGTCCATCGTCTTTTCATGTTGAATTAAATATAGTCTAATGTTAATTATCTTTTATGAATATGTCCTGAAGATGGTCTACTAGACCGAAACGTCCGACGTTGACATTATATTAACATTAAAACAGCATAATTGCATATTAGGATTTTTGTTTGTTTTTTCCGTATATTTTTCTTCATACTGTCGGATCTATATCCATATATTTGCTTACATATATATATATATATATATATATATATATATATATATATAGAGAGAGAGAGAGAGAGAGAGAGGGGTGAAAGTGAGAAACAGACAGACAGACAAACAGATAGATAGATAGATAGATAGATAGATAGATAGATAGATAGATAGATAGATAGATAGGAAAGAGGTTATAGTTGTTCCAACGAGAGAAAAGTGTATATTTTATAAAGAAGATAAACCTCAAAATCTAAACTATTTTTCTTGGGGTGTATCTTGATTTTTTCTTATGAGGAACCGAGGTTTGAGTTAGTTTTCCTCTTTCGACTCCCTGTCAGATTTCTCGTTATTATCATCCATAGATTGTTCAGTTTGACTACTACATTCATTAGCAGCTCCCCACCCACATTCATATTCTTCACATTCAGATTCTCGCGAAGCCTGGACTTTATATCGTTGGAACATCAAACTTCTGGAACGGTTTCAGTAAACGAAGCTCCGAAGAATCCTTCGCATGATTTGGGAAGACCGTATCATCAACAATTAAGTCCTCACTGGGATATCTCTCCCCAGCATTGACGCCACCATCCTCCAACAGCGCCTCCGCTGGATGGGTCACGTGTTCGTAATGCGTCCCACTCGACTCCCACATACCCTACTGTTTGGTCAATTCGCTAGCGACAAGAGGCTATATGGAGACACAAAACGATGCTTAAAGAATCAGTTGAAATCATGCTTGATACAGGTCAAGGTCAACCCTGAGACCTGGGAAACGGTTCCTGGGAATCGGCCTTCCTGGCGTAGGAGCAACCGGGGATGGGAGCTGAGATATTCGATTCCAGCGTCAATATGAAAACCTGGTGTCAGCAGGGACCGCCTCGCTCAGTCGTGTCCAGCAGTCGTGTCCTATGGGACTCCTGCTCACCACTCTTCAGGAGTACGCTGGACCTTTACAGCCATCGACACCGTCACAACAGCGGATAAAGGAAACAAAGAGAGTGTGTGATGATCCCGATGATCGGATTCGAGCCGGTGCTGACTATATTTAATTTATTATTTCTTTGATTTTTTTTTTTTTTCCCAAATCGTCTCGGAATGGGAGTATTTCGATTCCGTTCACATCTAGTTCGTTTTTTTTTTTTTGTTCCTCTTCATCTTGTGCAGTGTCGATCTTATTCAGACTCTAATTTTTCCTATCCTTCTATATTTTTGTGTATTGAAGATTTCATTCTCTAGTCAGTAAATAGTTCTCTGGTGTATCCGCTTTATATTTGACGTGTTTTCCACAATCTATCGCGACCGTCACCGCCTTTGATTTTATACAACCCGATGATGCATAGATGTTTTGTCTTGTTAATTCTTTATTCTGTTCTGCATACTTGCTTTATATGCATTGCAAATCTTTTTCTATTTCGGCTCACCTTGCATTAACGCATTCATATTGAACCCGCTTTCATTTGTTTCTAATTGCTGTTTTTTCAGGCTCAACTATCTCAACCCTTCCTTGACATTATTGTCCTTTTTAGTCATCTTCAGAATTACCCGCGTCGTCTACTCTTTTACCTCTTTCCGTTTTTCTTGGGATAATCTCATTCGCCAATCTCACTCGTGCTTCCTTCCGCATGTTTCATGTTGAATTCCAAATGTCCTTTAAGTTATATTTATTTTTAGCTATAGAAGTTACTGAGATTTAAAATGACAGGACGTTTGGAGGTCTGCGATCGCTCACGTGCGAAAATTACCGAAAGGTAAGTAATAACAATAATAATGTCTTCATCAAAGATGAAAAAGAGAATCGAGGCAACTTAGATGTGGTTCTACAGAAGGATGCTAAGGATATCATGGACCAAGCGTGTGAGCAATGATAAGGTCTTAGAGAGGATGCAAACAAGGAGGCGACTTATACTTAAAATCAGAAAGAGTCATCTGAAGTTTCTGGGACACAAGGAAGAAGGGCCTGAAGAATCTGATACTCACGGGTTGCGTAGAGGGAAAGAGAGACAAGCGAAAGCAGCGCGTGACAAACCTGACGAGCTGGAGCAGGTGGATGACAGAACGTGGTCTGGGGGAAGAAGCAGAGGGAAGGAACTTGTTGAGAGCTGCAATGGGATAGAGGGAGGTGGAGAGACTTGATCGTCTACGCCCTGAAAGGACATGGCACATAAAAAGAAGTGGAACTTACAGAAAATCGTAGAGGAAAGCATATCGAGGATTTTTTGTTGCTTAAGTTAAAACGTGACCACTTCATTGGATTAACTTGCTAATGCAAACTTGATGAAATATGGTCGGTTGTCGTGAAGCTTTCGATTTTGTGGTTCCTCGGAAGCTATTAGTTTAAGAATTTACCCGTTTTGCACCAGCTATTTAAGAATTTATTTACCCACAATAGAGCAGTTGTAAGAATATCCACTCCGGAGCTTCGTTTATTGGAACCGTCTTAGACGTTTGATGTCCCAACGATATAAAGTCCAGCCCTGGCAGGCATACAGAATACCCGGAAGACCATGCTGAGGTCGTAATTTTTGAAGACCCTATGTGAGAGGGTTCCGTACGATTACGAGAGTGGCGAAATAACGCGGCACCATATAAGATCCATTTACGTCGCGCTAACAGAGAAGCCAAGTGTAAATGAATGCAAGCGCCATGAGGCTATGAGCCACATAATCAAGCTAATAGTTCGAGTTCTGATGATTAGAGAGCGAAGTCGGATTAGAGTGGAAATCGGGTAAGATAAACGTTGATTTTCAACGATATTAGAAAAGAATAATTCTATATTTTTTATTAGAATTATATCAGCGAGATGCAGACAGTTGTATATTTCCTTTTTCGTGGATTACGCAAAGCATTTGATAAAATAACACACAAAGATCGATGTGGATATCGAATCTTATCAAAATATAAATCTGAATATGCATTCTTGAAAGTATTACTACTATCTCAAGTCAAGATACATGACAACAAAAATGTTAGAAAAATTGAAAGAAAACAGTTAAAACCTTAACCTCATGTTCATCAGAATATACGTCACATAAATTAATTCCAAATAAAATTAATTTAAATACTAATATCCATGAAAAAAAATAGTTAATCGCCTTGGTTTATTAGACATTGAATTCTGTCACGTCGGGTCCTCCATAGTTTGCCCGACTTTTCAGTTAACATGATGAATATTTACGAACGTTCCTCAACGTAAAAAAATAATCTAAAACCAATAATAATGTTGCTCTTGTATATAAGTACTTGTCACCAAAAAAAATGCATTTATCTTGATAAAAGTGCCCCACAGAACAAAACGCGTTGTCAAACCATTAGGAGAAATAAATATTTTTAAAAATAAACGGGGAGTCTACTCAGATCCGGACATCGTTTGAAGTAATAAAAATGCGTAAGATTGAAAAGAAATAATAAAATCCATAAAAATAAACACCGGAATATCGCGAGAGTGAGAAACTTTAGGCGTCGTGAGTTTTGTAGTCTGTTTGTCGCTCCAATATTTTACACAACATTTATTTGATTTATTCAACTATAATATTGCCAGGTTTTACCGTCTATTCAGTATAATTAACAAACGACATTTTTTTTTTACCTAATAGTCCTTTTCAGAAACTTCCCGAGGAGATGATTTTTTTTAAAACTCAGTTTCTGATAAAATTATGTCTACCTCACCAAATCGGCAAATCATACTTAGATACGCCAATAATACATTTTCCGCTGAAATTGTTCCCAACTATCGTTGAATGACAAGCCTAACCATCAGTTTACTTTGCATCTAACCTTATTTTAATATTTTAGCGTAGACCTTATAGTCATTGGTTAATCGAGACATACCCATAAGTATATTTTTAATTCTGAACTTATGCCGCCACTTTAAATTACGTAAAGAGGTAAAGATTTTTTTTTTAAGTTTCCCTTATAAATCATTTTTATCATTAGCTTATCTACCATCACCTGAAGAGGTACAATCTTATTACTGAAAGATGACAATTTTTGTGATGCGATTTAAAATGTTTTATTATAAAAATATTAAAAAAAAATGCTCTACTTTGTATTGAGCAATGTTTTTAAAAATAAATGCTAGGAACTATGGATTTTTACTCTCTCAGTTCTTTCCCACATTTCGATATATATATATATATATATATATATATATATATATATATATATATATATATATATATATATTAATTCAACATATCGGTGACAATTAGTTACATGCTTGTGCAAAATGTTCAGATCTGAACATTGCATTGAAACATGGAAGAGACTGTCGCTTCTAGCAGTTGACATCAGTATCCACTTTTACATTCGCATACACTGTATCTATCATGGTGAGCAATTTTGTCCATAAATACACTATGCGCTAAATATATATATATATATATATATATATATATATATATATATATATATATATATATATATATATATATATATATATATATATATCGTTTGTAAGTGCAAATATTGTCCAATTGTTAGATCAAGGTTTGATTAGTCGTAACTTAGAAATAATTGAAGATATCTTACTGGAATTCTCCGAGATTTTTGTAACACTGTTGAACTTTGAGCGACAAGAATATGCAATCTTAACTGAAGAATCGTGATAAAATGGATCATAAATAAAAATGACATGTTCATAATTAATTACTAATAGCTAAGAATCGGAAGCTCATGTAGGATTGAAATAAATTTACATATATATATATATATATATATATATATATATATATATATATATATATATATATATTCCAGTATCATTTTCTAAATTATTCAGTATGATCTTCGACCTCTGTTACCTTCTTCCTGTCTTGGAATAAAAAGGTGCCTCACACATTTCAGGTAAGATTTCATTTTCAAGTCCTTTTCATTGCTCTTTGGGTTGTCATACGTGAAACTCATCTCTCCCGTGTCAAACGTCTTACGGATTAAGTTATATCTTTTCTAAATGATCCCTTTAGCTCAAAGTTGAAATGATGATAATTCTTTCTGTTTCATATCTTCATCCAGATTTCCTCTCCACTGTTCCCTTTGTTCAACTTATTTACCGTTCCCTATATGGTTCTGAATGTTCTTTTAAAATGGAAGTCAGTGTATGAATGTTGGTACCACTACCGAAGGCCTGAAGGATCTTTTTCCTCTCACCATTGCTCTTTGAGGAAGACAGTGGTGCTGACACAAAATGATTTTAACATATTCTATTTCTCAAAAGTCTTTCACAGCGATTCTTGCAACAAATGCTGTCAAGATGTCTAAACGCCTTATATGGAAAAACTGGAGAAAAAAACTCAATTAATACAATGGTCTTTAAGATATTAAACATTGGGCGGATGGGCAATTATTCTGTTAGACAGTTTGGACAATTCTGTTGTTACAGACCCCTCCCACTTCTTCTTTTGTTGCTTGTTCTTATATACATTTAAAGAGAGAGAGAGAGAGAGAGAGAGAGAGAGAGAGAGAGAGAGAGAAAGAGAGAGAGAAAAGTGAAAGATCTTTGTTCAATTCTGTCTGTCAATACATGACAGTCTGTCAGTGTCTATATATCTCATTTTTTTCATATCTATTTGATATGAATGTACTCTGAAGTTATGGGCAATATATATATATATATATATATATATGTGTGTGTGTGTGTGTGTGTGTGTGTGTGTGTGTGTGTGTGTGTACACAGACATATATAGTGTCATTCGCATACAAGCCTGTTTCGCTCTATCACTGTTTCTACTCCCGAGCCATCGGCGCTTCGATAGACTGAAAGACAAATTCTAGCGTATTGTTTTTAAGAATGTAAACAAAAGTCAGGCAGCTAGAGGGCTCTATTCGTTAATGAAGAGCGCTGCGTTAGCGCTGACAGCTAATGTTTATAGAATTTATCCCAGCTCAACAGTGCTCAACCGAAAGACTTTCGAGAGCGTTATAATGTCATTTTCATACAGGCCTGCTTCGCTGTATCACAGCTCATCAGTGCGACTAGACAACCGAATGCCTCAAGCCAGGATATATATATATATATATATATATATATATATATATATATATATATATATATATATATATATATATAGGTACCTCCATGACATCGCTGAAAAAGATCATAGCATGATGAAAATGACGCCAAACTTGACGAAAACAAAATGTTATAGTCTAAATGTTCAAATTGTTATTGAGAGGAAAGATCAAAGTATTTTTTGCGGGTAATTTTTACATTTTTTAATCGTTCCGAGCTCGTCCGTAATTCTAAAAAAATTTAAAAATTAAAATTACACTTGGAAATTCTATTAAAATCAATTATCATTTTTTCAAAAATTATTTTAAGAAAATCAGAAATTATAATATTTATTTAAAATATTTGGAACCAAGGTTAACTGCGCCGAAAAGATGTAATTTGAAAATAAAACAAAGCAGGTCATAAACTTTCACCTCCATTGACAGGTGATGAATGACGTATTGACGAAAAATGAAGTTATTTAGATTTAAGTGAACAAATTATTTACCTCGTTATTTTTAAGGAAAACTTTAAGTTTAAATTTTTTTTTTCATCAAAATATAGAGTGGTCTAAAAAGATGGAAAATTCTTTTAAAATAATTAAAATAAACTTTGGTCTTTCCTCTTAATAATAACATAAGCATTTAGACGATACAATTTCGTTTTCGTCAAGTTTGGCGTCTTTTTCATCATTCTATGCTATTTTTTTAGCGATTTCATGGAGGTACCTATATATATATATGTATATATATATATATACTCGTATTCGAGGATACCCGCCCACTAGAGTGGCTAGCTAATCCCTAATCCCTATTCCATACTCTCGCTCAGGCACATTTGTGTTTGTTCAACACCCACAGAGACAACCTGTCGTTTATACTGCAACTATGATTAGTTACAGTTTTCTGGGAGTGTTATCTAGAATTATTAACAATCTGAACAACATTTCGGTCACGATGACTTGTAACTTCGTGCAAGCACAATTATCGACGGCCGCAAGTGTTCCGTCTACCAAATTTCGCTCACAAGGCTTGGGTCAACCCGTGGTATATTTTTCAGTCACTTTCCAAAGGTACCGTACGCTGGGATCACCCACCTCCCTCTCAGACCGATAACATCTGGAAGTCTCCTGCCTGACAAATCGACTATGGTGAGATTCGAACCCAGGCCCAATCGTCAGAAAGGAAACGCTCTAACGGCTCGAATATATATATATATATATATATATATATATATATATATATATATATATATATATATATATATATATATATATATATATATATATATATATATATATATATATATATTGTGTGTATTTAGCAGCATCTTTTCATTCATATACGTTTCATTAAATAATATATATATACAAGTATTATATATTTATTTAATGTAATTTTTTTTCATAACGTCTGATAAGTTTAATAACATTATCGTTGAACGAAGAAAGAAATTTACAATATTGATCCAAATCACATATTGATATATATATATATATATATATATATATATATATATATATATATATATACATATATATATATATATATATATCACATCCATATATATATATCACATACATATATACATATATATATATATAGAGAGAGAGATACAGAGAGAGAGATAGATAGATAGATAGATAGATAGATAGATAGATAGATAGATATAGTCGCTCTTTCTATTAGGTTGGTGCCAAAATAATGGCGTAATAATGTCGTTTTTTGACGTATTTTTAAGGTCAAAAAACGACATTATTACGTCATTATTTTTGCACCAACCTAATATATTAGAGTCTCATACTCTTTCTTCTTGTACTTCTGCTGCTTTTTCTTCTCCTCCTTCTTCTCTATTTCCTCGCATATTATTACCTTCTTCCTTTTCTTCTAATCATCACTACTTTCTACCTACTTTTCCGGTGACAACTTAATTTTTTATGCAATATTTTCTTCGGGTAATTGTTTTCCCTCTCACCTTTTCTTCGCTTTTCTTATCTAATTGGCTTTACCTCTAAAAACCATATTCTCATTTTTATTTCTCTTGCCTGTTTCGTTCCATTCATCTACATTCTTGATTTCTCTCCTTTATCCCCTCCCCACTTTTTTTTCTCTGCCATCCCCCCCCGCCACCAAACTTTAATTCCATTCCCATCTCTATTCGAAATTCTATTGGCACGCAATCAGGAATCTTTAAAACCTGTCAGAATTCCTATTAATTCTAGCGACCTGAAAGAAATAGCCAGAGGTTACGGGTTCATTTGTTTTTTTTTTACTTTTTTTTTTTTGGTGGGCCTTTCAACTCATGACAGCAGTCCTTCACGTAAGTCTGATTGCAGTTGCAGAGTAAGAATTTTCAGGAACTATACAGAAGCGACAGTAAAAAAAAACAAAAAAAAAACGAAGAAGAAATTAATTCTTTTGATGATTTAGATTGACTAGAGACGACGATTAAGCAAAAAAGAGTGATGTGTCAATCGATATCTTGAACAAAAGCCATCTCAAAGCAGTTTGATCTGCCATCGTTCACTCCAGAGTTTTTCTTAGACGCTTCGTGTTTTCCTTCTATTTGAATGATCGGTGCAAATGAAAGAAATTAATTAAAAAAAAAAGAAGAAATATTGATTTTATTTTCTTTAGTTTGTCAAATGCTGCAAAATCTCATTGACGCTTTCATTCACCTTGTAAGTTTGCTTAAGAGAACAACTATAAACAGATATGGAGTTAGTTAATATTATGAACTAGACTTAATACTGAAATATCTAACTGTAATTCTCTGAGGTTTTTATAACCCTACTGAACTCTACTTTGAGCAATAAGAATGTGTACTAACGGACCAAGCTTAACAGAAGAATCGTGATGAAATCGATTATTGCTGTAGAGTAGTTTTCAAAGTGGAGGCTTCTATTTTAATAAGTCGTCCTAAATTAGGTACGACGTACAAAACGTTAGGAACTTGAAATAAGAGTTAATGACGCAGCTAGTTGTGATGATTGGTACTCCAATGTCCGACATCGACTAACTCGCTCAACACCATTGAGCCCAACTGGCGACAGCTACTACTACTACTTATTATGTGTGGGAGAGTCTATTAGTAATAAAATATATACCTCAGGTATAACAATTATAAAAAAAAATTATATATTCATAATTAATTAATAATAGCTAAGGATCGGAATCTCAGGTAAGATTGAAATAAACTCTTGATGGTTCTCTTGATGGTTCTTGAATGATCTTGGAAGATGGAAGTTGGTACCATTACTAATGACCTCAATGATCCTTTTACTCTCACCATTGCTCATTAAGAAGACAGTGTGGCTGACAAAATCTCATTGATGCTTTCATTCATCCAGTAAGTTTTGCTTAAGCGAACAATTATAAGCAGATATGGAGTTAATAATATGAAACAGACTTAATACTTAATTCGTTAATAGTTATCTCAACGTTTTTCATTTTGTATCTCCTTAATTACACTTTCCCCAATTCAAACACAAACATATATATATATATGTGCCCGTGCTTGATTCAAAAATCGTACGACTCATACAGCAATCGATATCACTTGACTTAAAATGTTTTTGTCTTTCCTTGCCTTTAAAATAGAGCCCTTTGCCGTGTTGATGTTGTTACATGCCTTACTCCTTGCCTATCTCTCACTGTGAATTTTTTTCTAAGCTCTATAATAAACATTAAATCTGTTACGAAAAAAGAACTAAACAAAATGAACACAAAACGATCAGCTTTAAAAAAGGATTCGTAACTGGAAAAACCGAATGAAAAAAGAATGTTAATAACAAATACTTTTTCTAATTCAGACGCAGTTCTGCGGAATCAGAATCAACGTTGAGTTTAAGCAAGCGAATGAGCCAATCGAAGTAAAGTGCCGTGCAGATTTAAATTTTTCCCATTTGTGACGAATGCAGCTATCAATTTTTTTTTGCATCCTAGCATGCTAGTTAACATTCGTGTCAGTCAGCTGTTGGCTCTCACGCTGGCCAATAAAATCTTCCAGCCTATTCATGGCAGCCAGCTGTAGGGTCTAACTCTGGCCAGTACAAAATGGCCGCAAACTACATGAAAACTTTCGTAGAAGCATGAAAAAATCGATTATTTCCACTATCGATGCGAGTTAGGATATGTAAACTCGGTCTTGGCCTTACCGCTAACTTGGAGCATGTACATGTAAATTTTGGTGCAAATCTGTCGAAAATTGCGACAGTGCATTCGTTACACACACAAAAACATCCTGCATTTTGTATATATATATATATATATATATATATATATATATATATAAATAGAGAGAGAATGACGCGGAAGGCATCAGAAGATATCGATCGATATTACATTTGAATATTTTAAGATTATAGCCATCAGGGAAGCAAATATGAGGAAGGGTGTTCCACTGTCGGGAAATACGAGAGAAGACTGTATTGGAGTAGAAGAGATGGCTACATTTAACCGTTTCGACACTGAAAGGATGGAACCGAGTTGCCAACCTAATATCACGCTTATTTGTAGTACCAGTGAATGTAGCTCGACACAGCAGTTGCCATGAAACTTTTTGTAGAAAAGACAGTGGGAAGTCACGAACCTTCTTTGAAAAAGTGACCGTAGGCGAGATGCCAGATCATGACCTATAAGATTGCATATCCATCTGGATTTTGTCGAGGAACTCGAGATGAACAGCGGGGGCACCAGACGATACATGGCAAAAGTATTCAATGCCAGGACGAATGGTTGATTTGTAGATTTGAAAGATGGACTTAGAAAAGAAAAAAAAACCCTCTGGCGCGACACAGAGAACCAACTTTCACTTTTGGTAGATGACGCTATCGATTCAATGTAGTTTTTCAACCTCAGGTCAGTGGACAGCGTGAGACCAAGCAGGCGCAGAGAGACGCTCTCCTGGATCTGGACATCAGACATTTTGATAGCAGGCAGTGTTCTCTATGGTGGGTAAATTTAGAGCAGTTTCGTTTTGAAGGCATTAAAGTTTACAAGCCATTTTCTGCCCCACTCAACAACAGATTGGAGGTCCTTTTCGAGTCGAATGCCAGGTTAGTTTTGTTAGCGATGCTGGATTTATTATTGAGATAGGAATAAATATTAGTGTCTGCGTAGATACCCACTTGGGAACTGATGACATCAGGAAGATCGTTGATGAAGTTCAGAAATATTGTAGGACCCATAATAGAGCGTTCAGCAAGGAAATGTATCTGCTTGATTTTGATGTTTCCAATCCGAAACTCTCATATCGAGCTAACTTTTGACCTGATAAATTCATTTTTCTCATAGGAAATATTCATTGCTTCCTACTCGCTTTTCTTTGCTATCTGTCATAAATAATTTGACATCATTCCTTTAGCGTCTGCCATCAACATATTACATATTTTATTTTCTAAGATTATCACCGCGGTGAGTTAATCCTGTTAGCTTCAATGAAGGCTGTGAAATGTTAACCGTCCTGACCTGGCATCTCGGCATTAATGACTTTCCCAAAGCCGCATCATAGCTGTTCCCTCTCTTTTCTGTAATTCTTCCCAAGTGAAATTCTTCTTTGCTACCTCGATCGCACGAATTTAAGCCTAGTACTAGATTGGCAGTTAGGTCTCATCGTTCTACTCTTTCGATAGCTAGTTCTGTTCTAATAGTTTATTTTCTCACATTTCTCGATTGTGGGACTTACATCCTGATACTAACTTCTCTACCACCTAAGGCTCTTTAAAATATTTAGATGCTACACCAATTGCGATCTTCTGCCTTCCTGAACCCATTTTATTTTATTCTCCTTACGAATCCTCGTCGCCATTTTCTCTTTTTATTTCACCTTCAGTAATCGCTTGCACTTTAGTGACACTATCACTTGTCATGGGATGAAACGATTGAAATAAATGTATTTTAGCTCCATTAAAAACGGTTTGCTGTATAACTTAAACATATTCGGTATGAAAAATCATACTAGCATTTTAGGATATCCGTTTTTGTTCATCGACACAGGAACACAAATAAAAATATTCCTTCATTTGAACAGTATGCTAAACTGATATTATTTAAATGATAGATTTATTTTTACGCAGTTATGAATATTTATTGGCATTTCTTGGTGTAGTAAAATCTGTTTAGATTGTGTTTAAGGAGATGTGCGGAATTCATAAAAAAGGCCTTCTCCCGTTAACAAGGTCCACATTAATTTTTTTTTTGTATGAGATTTTCCTAAAATTAACAGTCAATCAAAATGAATGAACTTTTCTCACTATAGACGTTTCCCACCCCACGGTTCGTATAGTAATAGAGTATAGAATAGAAATAGCGACGCGAACAGTAATAAAGAATAGACTAGAAATGTAGATCATTTAGATGTCACGCGACTTCCTATTTATACGTTTCTTCCATGGACACGTGATCTACATAATTCAGTAATGGGATCGTCTGTGTTTGCTCACTGGCGATCTATGTTCAAACTCGTGTCGGCAACGACACTTTATTCATATATAACACTTGTCTAATTTGAAGTAATAAAAATATGATATATATTATTCTGCTTTTAGAAACGAATACATGGTAGATAATTGGTTGGATGGTTAATTTTGTTTAGCGGCTATCAACCTCTATGGGTCAATTGTATGGCGTCAACTAAATATATTTTGAACGCAATTGTTTATCTTCAATAATGTTTAGTTCAGAAAGGAAATATAATTATGTTTTTGGAGATACGTATATTCATAATTTTGGTCTATCTCTGCTTTAGAAGGCTCAATTAATGCCGATTGATTGATTAGTTTAATGGCATATTGGTCATTTTTTATATAAAATATAATTCACATTTTTCATGTTCCGCAGTGGACAATTTCCATTATAATAAACGAACATTCAGTTCATCATTCCAATGTGAACAAACCCTTTCGAAGATCCCTTTGTATCGTCTCTAATAAGCTGAAAAAATTATCCTTTCGTCTGGATTGTATACAAAATCTCTGATTGAATTAGCATCAGTATCTGGAGTGAATGAATCTAAAATTTTT